GTTTGGTCTTATGGTTTAGCTAAAATTTGATATTAAATTGCTCAAAAAATTTAAACTAGATAATTTGAAGAAAATGATGCTATTTTTCGTGTTCGAACTAAAAGGAGGAGACCAAATGAAGGAAGCTTGAAAACAGGGGCCTTTTATACGAAAATTTGGCCAAATTTTATGCTTTTTTATTTTTAGAAATTTAAAAAGTTCTAAATTGAGTGATGAAAATTAATGGACTCACTTCAATTATCTTTGATTTATCTTAGCTAAACAATAAGCAAATAGAAACCTAAAAGCGCTTCTAAGATGCAATTACTATTGTTTGGAGCCAGAATGTGTAAATTCTATCTTTCAAGTCTACATAATACTCGAAAATAAAATAAGAATCTCCAATTCAAAATGCATGGCATTTACAAGATAGCTTAAACTAATATTTAACTATTATATGCAACTTTCTACTTACTGGATATGTTAATTATACTTACCTTTTCCAGTATATTTGTCCTCGGGTCTTGAAACGAAATAGCAATAGATTTACCTCGTTTCCGCATTTTCTGGAGACAAAAGCACATATTCAAGAGAAAAATTCACCATGCACCCAACATTTTCCTCTCCTTTAACACAGTTTCGGACAAATTAGTTTGAGCAAATCTCAGACTAAACAGAAATAAGAGATCTGTCGGGCACACGAATCAAATTGATATAGAAGGTTGTGATATTCCTTGATTTTTATAAAATTTTCAGGCCTTTATCGATTAATAGAAGTCTTAACATTCAAACTCGTTTGAGCACCACAATGCATGTACAAACTTGGAATGTAGCAACACATATATATTTAGCTTTCCACCAAGCACTGCTTTGCTGGATAATAGACAAAATTGAGAGGCCATCAGTTAACAGGACATACACAGTGTGATGTGGTCGGGGAAACCAGTAACGCCAACTAACTGGAACTGGAAATCTCCATGATGAGAAGTCACACCTGTGGAAGCTACTGTTCCTAGAAATAAAAAATGTATATCTAAAAATAAAATCCACAACATGAAGTTGGAAGGTGAAGATAAACAACCTCAGTAAGATTCAATGTTTTTTGTACGTTCTCAACGCTGTCTGCAACTCTTATGGCTTCAAGCTACCATTCTTTCTTGCAGCTGCTGAAAATGCTTTCGTCACTGTTTACAGTTGGCTGCTCCCAATCCAAATTATGTCCAGGCAGATTGACGGAAATGGATGAATGAGGTATAACATTATCCGGGACAGGTCGCAAGGGAGATCGGTAGCCTTTTAACATCAATAAAGGCGACTGGTCAGTCTTTTTTTAGCCAAAAGGTTTAACTGATGAAGGAAACAAGAATATCATTTACCTCTGCAATCAGGATCGTGGAACTTCTGGTAATAAACAGCCCTTCTCAGATCAACTACGTATATAACTGACACCACATGCAAAAAGCATAACAGAACCATAAGGGGGAACAACATTAAGAAAAAAGTCAATGCATAGAATCTATCTAAACTAATCTGTAATAGATAATCAGAGGACAACTATATCCGATGTTACCAATAATGAAAATGGAAACATGTCCTGCAAGGTGCCCTTGGATGAGAAATAGAAATAGCAGAGAATGACAGCTCAAAAAGATGTGACTACTACCAAAAGTTTTTCCTTGCAAAAGTAAAGTTTGTGATGCATTACCATGATTGCTTTTATGTTGTCTGCCAATTCTTTCACAGTATCTCTTTCTAGACATGCTGTAGACCATTAATGCATACTCAGAGAACCAGTACCAACTTCGGATTTTTCCTGGAAATAATGTAATAGAGAAAGTAAGCAGTAATCCTTAGTTTTGCACTTTAACACATGTGAACTACTAAAGCTTTTAAGCATTGACAAATACAAAACTAGAACTACAACACTAGCTTTGACACCCAGACATCAAAACAATGAAGACAGTCATGGCCCAGTAAGGCCGCCAGGTAGTTCGCAGCAATTACTATGCCTCGATCTAAAGCTAGTTGGTGTCGGCTATATGAACCCTCACTTTCCGTATTGCTCCTTTTGAACACGTTTCATTCTAATGTTCAATACTTTAGTTACTCTACTTGAGGTTCTCTTTATTTTCGAATGACATAAAAATATGTAACAAGATATAAAATCTCTAAGCAAAAGTTGGACTTAGTAAGTTTACAAACATGACTAAGCTTCATCCCATTACCAACTAGTTGGTCTTGCCTGTATGAATATTCTTCTTCCATTGTGTTCTTCTTTTCGCTAAATCTATACAGATTCCAAGAGATTGTAGGTTCTTTGAGTCAACTTTTTTTTAGGTCTTTCGAAAAAACTTTATTCTATATGATTCCAAGAGATTGTAGGTTCTTCAAGTCAATTTTCTTTGTTTGTAGGTCTTTTGATTTAATTTTCTTCTATGTGATATTAGAGCTACCTTGTCCACCAGATTCCCGACATCAACTAAGGGTCGGGATCGATAAAGGAACAAGGATAAATTAAAAGATAATTTGATGCGGATCGGCGATCTTCCAAGGGCTGATTCTTGCCCTACGAGAGGGCCGAAGGGTGCGACAACAAAGGGTTCCGGTGAGCGGATAGGTTCGCTCCTGATAAAAGAACTGACCGCAGCCAGAACAAGAGATAGTTGCAGGACAACGAGGTATCGAGTTCCCGAGATTGCACTTATCCCAGGCTGTCACAGTATAATTTTAATGTTAGCATACTGGAGCTGGTATCGGCAATGAGAAACATCAAGGAAGCACGGTTCCCGGGGCCAATGAGATCCGATCCCAACCAGGGGGATCCTAATTTGTGGTGCGAATATCATCAGACTAATGGCCAACGAACTGGGAAGTGCCAACATCTGCGCGGGGAGGTGCCAACGCTGTTGAAGAACGACCATCTCAGGGAATTCCTAAGCGACAAGGCCAAGAACAATTACAGCCGCAGTCAAGATAATGCAGAACCCTCAAGGATAAGAGAAGACCCTCCTCGACTAACTATCAACATGATTTTCGGGGGGAACGAGATCAACGGTGTAACATTCTCGGCCGCCAAGAAGACAAAGGTATCAGTGACTCATAGCAAGAGACTCCGGGAAGTCACCGAAGACGACATCACCTTTACGGAAGAGGATGCCGATGGACTTCTTCTGCTGCACAACGACGCCCTGGTAATTTCTTTTAATGTTCTAGATTTCAAAATTAAACGTGTTTTGGTTGACCCGGGAAGTTCAGCTAACATCATTCAATGGAGAGTGTTGGAACAAGCCAAGCTAACCGGAAGCATCGATCCGGCAACAAAGCTCCTCGCCGGGTTCAACTTAGCAAGTGTGACAACCCGAGGGGAGATCTTGCTGCCCACAAACACCGAAGGGATCATGAAGACTACCTTATTTGAAGTAGTGGACTACGACATGGGCTACACCATAATTCTTGGCAGACCATGGCTACATGAGATTAAGGCCGTACCATCGACATATCACCAACTGCTGAAATTCCCAACTCCAGAGGGAACCAAACAAATAAGTGGAGATCAACCGGTAGCAAGAGAAATGAACGCAATATCGATTTTTAGCAGTAAAGGGAAGGAACTCGACACATAGTAATTACAGGAACCGACGCCTGCTCCCGAACCGAATGAAGATAACATAGGGGAGGAGTCATCGGAATCCCACCATGTACCAAGATATTTTCAGGTATCAGAAGAAATAAAAGCGACCAAGTCCACGACAGAAGAACTCGAACAAGTGGCTTTGTCCGAGAAATTACTTGAGAGAAAATTCTACTTAGGGACAGGACTCAACCCCGAGCTCAGGTCAGGATTTATTGATTTTCTTAAAACTAACATTGATTATTTCGCATGGTCGCACGCGGATATGACAGGTATCCCGCTAGAGGTGGTCATGCACAAGCTAAGCCTGGACTCAAGCATCCCACTGGTACGGCAGAAGAAGCGCCCAATAGCCGAGGTCAGAAACAAATTTGTTAAAGAAGAAGTAACCCGATTACTTGACATCGGTTTAATCCGGGAGGTAAAGTATCCTGACTGGATAAGTAATGTAGTCATAGTTCCGAAAAAGAATAATAAATTTCGAATGTGCATAGATTATAAAGATTTGAATAAGGCGTGCCCGAAAGACTCATTTTCATTGCCATACATTGATCAAATGGTTGATGCAACGGACGGACATGAGTTAATGAGTTTCCTCTTTGCCTATTCCGGGTACAATCAAATTAAGATGAACCCGGAGGATCAGGAAAAATCTTCGTTCATAACGAACTTTGGCAAATATTGCTACAATGTGATTCCCTTCGGGCTTAAAAACGCCGGAGCCACTTACTGGAGGCTCGTGAATAAGATGTTCGAAAAATAAATAGGTAAAGCAATGGAAGTATACATAGATGATATGATGGTCAAGTCTTTGTATGCAGGTGACCATTTAAAACACATCCAGGACTGTGACATGTAATGAGATAACGCAACATAAGGAAAGTGATGCGGAAGATTTGGAAGATGATATAATACCTGAGGAAATTGTCAAAGAAGTAGAGAATTTTGAGAACAAACCAAAGTCCAATTTGGAAGAAATTGAGGCAGTTAGCTCAACCCCAAAAAATGCGCGTTCGAAGTTAGCTCCGGTAAAGTTTTGTGTTTCCTGGTGTCATAGAGAGGGATCGAGGTAAATCCCGATAAGATCAAAGCCATCGAGGACATCCCAGACCAGCTGACAAGCGTGAAGGAAGTCCAAAGGCTAACTGAAAGATTAGCCGCTCTAAGCAGGTTCATTTATCGGTCTTCGGAAAAATATCATCACTTCTTCTCACTTCTGAAGAAGAAGAACAACTTCGAATGGACTCCAGAATGCCAACTAGCCTTAAAAGATATGAAACGTTACCTATCAAGACCTCCGCTACTATCAAAACCAGAGGAAGGCGAATAGTTCCTGATATACTTAACGGTTTTGGAGGTAACGGTAAGTTCCATTCTAGTTTGGGAGGACGCAGGTACGCAATCTTCTATCTATTATGTCAGCAAAATTTTGTCGGGAGCGGAAACTTGTTATTCGCACCTCAAAAAACTGGCCTTAGCTCTCATAATCGTCTCTCGAAAGCTTAGGCCTTATATTCAGTGCCACCCGATAACCGTGGTGACAACTTTTCCCCTGCGAAATGTCCTTCGCAAACTTGAGTTGTCAGGTTAACTAGCCAAATGGGCAATTGAAATTAGTGAATTTAATATTGAATATAAGACTAGGGCTGCGATCAAGTCACAAGTTTTGGCCAACTTTGTGGCCAATTTCAGTCCCGGGTTGCTACCTCTGGCTGCAAAAGAGGCGGTGATGGTGTCAGAAATGACATCAGGAGTTTGGACCTAGTTCACAGATAGAGTTTCCAACGTGAAAAGGTCTGGGCTCGGGGCAGTCTTAATCACTCCCTTGGGAGAGACCCTGAGGCAGGCCTAAAAACTGTTCCCTTGACTAACAATGAAGCCGAGTATGAGGCTTTGATTGCAGGACTTGAACTGGCCCGGGGGCTAGACTCCGAGATCACTGAAATCAAATGGGGGACAGATATAGTCGGGCTGCTGCCACCGGACCCCGGGAAGGTAATATTTCTTTTAATTTTAACTGATTACTTCACTAAATGGGTTGAAGTAGGTCCTTAACAAAAGATCAGTGAACGCGAAGTGGTCGATTTCCTGTGGGAAAACATAATTTGTCGGTTTGGAATACCGAAGGAGATTGTGTGCAAGAATAGACCACAATTCATAGGCTCCAAAGTCACAAAATTTCTTGAAGACCTAAAAATTAAAAGAATCACATCTTCACCATACCATCTGAGTGCAAATGGGCAGGTGGAATCAACCAATAAGGTAATTATTCAAAATCTCAAAAAGAGGTTGGAAACAACCAAGGGAAAATGGCTTGAAGAGTTACCGAGAGTGTTGTGGGCATACCGAATGACGGCCAAGTAAAGCACGGGGGAGTCACCTTTCTTTCTCGTATACGGCGTAGAGGCTCTGATCCCAATGGAAGTAGGAGAACCAACCTTGCGATGCTTCCGAGTGGATTAAAAAGCAAATAATAAGACATTGTTGGTTAAACTGGAGCTACTTGATGAACACAGGGACTTGGCGTATATAAGAATGGTGGATCAGAAACAAAGGATGGAAAAAATACTATAACCAGAGGGCCAATCTCCGCTATTTTAAAGTGAGAGACTTGGTTTTGAGGAAAATGACTCAGAACACCCGGGAGCTCAATGCAGGAAAGTTGGGTCCAACATGGGAAGGTCCCTACCGAGTTTCAAATGTCACCGGAAAAGGGTCATACGAACTAGAGAACCAAGACGGAGTTAAATTACCGAGCAACTGGAACGTGACTCACCTCAAAAGGTATTACTGCTGATGGTACATAGAGTATGTTTTTCAAAAATGAGGGAATCCCCTTGGTGCTAAAGTTTTGCTTTGAGCCTATCAACCTCGGTCAAAAAACCAACCCACTCGGATCTCATGGCGCTGAGGCTAAGATCGAGATCACGGATCGTAGTTATGTGAACCTTATTTTGATCCATGATCTTCTTGTACCTATCTTCTATCTGGGCACGCTTCTCCTCGGCGGCAACAACATCTTTAGCTTTGGAGTTCAAAGTTGCCTCAAGTTATTCACTCACTCAATGGAGGCAGACTCACGCTCGACAACAGCAAACACGTCATCTTGAACTTCAGACCACTTAGCCT